GCGAACCATTCATGAGGCAGTAGTACACTGCAAGTCGATCTTGAAACGGCAGCCGCCTTGTTGTCCCAGGCAGGGATGCTGAAGGTGCACGGTGTCGGCAATGGGGTATCGCCGTGTTTCCTCATGAGCTCTGCGTGTACATTCCCAGGGTGCGTCCCGAAAGTTCCCAGGCTCGCCAGCGTCGTGATCTCGGGGTGCGTTGAGCCATCGAGGTGCGCAGCATGGGCCGCGCGCTGCACCTCGGTTGCTGGCATACACCCCCATGCCCATGAGCTCAGCAACTTTGTGCCCAACTGTGAATACTGGGGTGCTGGCGGGTTCAGCGGGGGCGGCGCCTCGACATCACCATCGGCCCCCACAGGGTTGAGGCGTCGACGGTTGTGTTGTTTTGGTGGCATGTTTCCAGAAACCTGGTGGGCCCTCGAGCCCAAATGCCTAGTCGCACGCCTCGCGAACAGCGCTAGCTGTGGGGCAACAACGCCAACAGGGATTGCGGCAACTGGGGTGGGGGGCGGGGTGGTGGTGGGTGGGTGGGGGGGGGGAACGTGCCCTTAAATTGTTGAGGCGGGGGCGGGGGGAAGACGCTGCCAGACGCAGGTCGGGCGGGAATCGTGAAAGCGAGGGGGGGGCGGGCGACGCGGAAAAGACGCATGTGATGCGATGAGCGTGTCGAGTAGGAGGACGACAGGGGGGGGCACCCAAACGAAGAACGTAAACCAAGCCGCTCCCTGTCCGCGGTGTTCCCCCTGGTAACCGTACGCAGGCGCAACGTGCGCCCAAGGCAGAGCGCCTCCATGCCACGATCGAGCACCGATCGCGCGTGCAGTAAAAAAACGTGCTTGCCGCACGCGGGCTACTGCACAGGAGCGAGGCCTCCTCTCTGCGTGCCCTGCGACCCATCCAGCTGCAACACCTGCTATCCGATCCCACCGTCGCCTGCTTCATGCAAACCCCACCGTCGAGCTACAATCGCGCCGCCATCGCTGTTGGATGGCCACCGACCTGACAACGACGCGTCACATGACCATTATCAGATCTGACAATCGTGCAACGTCAGAAATGTCCTATATGACAACGGTCTGACGTCACATCGTTGTCAGATCTGACAATGGCATGGCGTCGCGTCGTTGCCATATCGACCACTCCACGTGCCCATTCGAAGCTGTTATGTCGCAGTTACCCCTAGACGACGGCACACGCGACATAGACGACGGCACACGTCAACACACACACAGACACGAGCACTGACGAGTAAATCGGTCTGGCGATCGTTGCTTGTCGCTGCTGCTCCTCACTAGTGATCGCCGTTGCTGCTCATCGCTAGTGATCCTCGCTGGTGCTCCTCGCTAGTGCTCATCGCCAGCCATCCCCGCTAGTGCACTTCGCTAGTGCGCCTCGCTAGTTCTCCTCGCTAGTGATCATCGCTAGTGCACGTCGATGCTGCTAATGGCTGCCGATTCACCGTACTCAACGTCTCTGCTGCCCTCGCTGCTGGGGAGAGGTCGCCGCTGCGCGCTACAACTCTAATCCTCCTCCTGCTCCGCAATCTTGTCGATGCCCAGCAGCTCGACCAAGGCGACCTGGAAGAGGGGGATGTGCTTCTTCACCTTCGCGGCGTTCGGCTTCTGGTCAGTCTGCCAGCACGCGATGATGTCGCCGAGCTTGCGGAGGGTGCCGATCACCTGGGCGGCAACGGGGGGAAGCTCTGGACAGCATGGCGAGGAGGTCCATGGCGACGGGGCTGCGACTCACATCGGAAAGGGTGGGCAAATGAGCACGAAGAGGTGACCGACATGGGAGATAACACGAGGCGGGGCAAAGGAGGAAAGGGGAAGGGCGATGCGCATAGAACGCAGCTCGTGTCAGACCTCACCGAAGCGCCTGGAACAATCACGCATCCTCTCTCTATCAAGTATCATAGAAACCTCACGTCTCGCGAACATTGAAACCCCAAACATAGTATCTCAAGTCTCCTGAAAACCTCAAGTCTCCTGGAAGCCTCAAGTTACCTAGAAACCCCCAACTGATTGCCCGTAGGAAACGCGTCGCCTTCTTGGCCTTGTTGGACGACGCGGGGTGCTTGTTGCACCACTCCTTCTTCGTCAGGAAGCACTGCAGGACGTCGTTGGCCAGCTGAGCAGTGCATGCTGTTTTTATATGAGTCTACGCCCGCCCTGACTTGGGTGAATGGGTCAAACTCCCAGGAAGCATATCGACGCTTCGCCTCAAACACCTCAGATCAAACGCTTCGGAATTGCGATATGCCTGCGTCGCCAGAACAGCATGCATGTCCACGCTACGATCCTCGACCTCGCCATCTCGATATCAAGCCGTCCGTTGATTTCCCGATCTGCCTCATCATTCTCCTCCTACCCGCCCTCCTCATTTTCCTCCACATCCACCTCCTCACTATCGTCATCGCTCGTATTGCATAACAGCGTTCCCCCCGCTATGCCTACCCTCCAGCGTTTCGCATTCCTCCTCATCCTCATCCCCCGCCTCATCTTCATTGCCCCCTCATCCTCCACGCCCCGATCATCATCATGTCCTGCCCCTGCAATGCAAAGCAGAAGAAAAAAAAAAAAAAAAAAAAAAAAAAAAAAAAAAAAAAAAAAAAAAAAAAAAAAAAAAAAAAAAAAAAAAAAAAAAAAAAAAAAAAAAAAAACGCTGTCCGCGAGCCCCTCGCCCACGCAGCACACGGCGTCGCTGATCTCGTCGTCGGTCCCCAGCTTCCTCGCGTCGATGGTCTGGATCTCCGCGTTCTTGCGCTTGAGCTTCTCGATCGGGCCCTTGGGGGGATCGGGCATATCGGGGGGGGGGCGCCCCCATCGCCTCCGTCGTCGCAGCCATCTCACGCAAGTCTGCAATTCAATATGGGCACCGACGGCATCGGACGCGTCGAGGGTGGGGGGGGGGTCCGCGCGCATAGGACGATACCGAAGCTCCGCTCATGGGTGGGAGCGGCGTGGAGAGAATCGAGAGGTGAGAGTTCCTGCGCACACGTGCCCTTCCATCCCCATGCCTGCCTGCAATTCCCTTCCCCACCCTCCCCTCCCCCCTTCCATACCACCGCTCACACCAATCCTCTCCAACTCCTTTCCCCCGCGAATGTGCAGCCGCCCCGCCCCCCGCCGTCTTGGCAGCTTTGGCGCCGCGACCGCGGCCGCGACCAGCGCCGCGGCCCCGCCCTGCTCCGTCGCCACGGCCAGCAGCACCGCGGTCGTCGTCGTCGTCGCACAGCGCCAAGCCCATGTCGTGCATCCCGCCTGCGGGGCGCGAGTGGAAACGCACGCCCACCCCCGCGCCACCCCGCTCCCCATCATCAACCTCCTCAACATCTCGCACCAATCCCATCCTCAACCGCATCAGTCCGCTCCCCAATCCGTGCTCATCCCGTCCGCTCCCCTCACCATCATCACTCCTGCAACAACCCTCATCACTCGTCATGGAGCTATCTATCTCGTGAACAGACATGACCAAGCACACCCCTCGATACGCCTGCACCCTAACCTCACCAGCCCTATGGGCCTAGGCGGTATAACGCGTTTTGGTATTCTCTCTTTGCCCCTCCCCCTGCCCCCTCCCCTGGGCCTGGGGAAGGGGGGGGGGGCGGAGGCGCCGCAGCGTCCAAGATGGCCCACGAACGCTCCAATAGGGCTTCAACGTCGCAAGATGGCCTCCAAGATGGCCCATGCCACCTCAAGATGGGCCAACGCAGCCTCCGACCTACCCCCAGGGGGCCCCAAGGCAGCCCCAAGACGGATCCAAGTGCACCCCGAGCTTTCCACGGCGCCTTCCAAGATGTCAAAAACCCTTTAAGATCATACGGATCATCACGGTGCTCGGCATTATCGCATTGTCGCTTCCGATGGGCGTTGGGGGCCTCAAGATGGCCCCATGATGGCCCAAAAGAGGCCCAAGAGGCGCCCAAGAAGGCCGACGACGGCCCCAAGATCGCCCAAGCGGCGCCCAGGAGCGCCCCAAGAGGGCCCCACGATGCCGTTTGAGAGCCTCCGAGGGGGCGATGCGAATTGGGCGACATCCTCGTGTTGATCCATGGGGCTCAAGATGACCCCAAGAGTCATCCCAGCATCTTCCCAAAGACCCTCCACCCCGCCCTGGTTTGCCCAGTATGGCTCCAAGAGAGCCCTCGATAAGCAAATATGGTATTCAAACTGGCATAGTATACCCAAGTATCGCTCAAGATAGCCTCCGACAGACCTCCAAGGAACCTCACGACGACATCACGATGACCCAAGACAGCCGATAATGACTCAAGATAACCTCCGACAGCCAATAGCCGAATATGGCTCAAGATAGCCCCCACAGAGGCCTAGAGAAAACTTGCACTCAATTCTGGATGAGCTGGTGGGGAGACGCGAAGCGTCAAGAATTGCAGAATGCGTGACGACGACAGACTGCGCAATGCAAAGGATAAGGGCCACGGCCGAACACATTGGACCCGCGCCACCGTACGCAGCCCTGTCGTGCACCATCTGCATGCGGTCCATGGCGCCAGACATCTCGTCGTACTCGTCGCGGCCCATCTTCCTCCCGCCCGTTGTCATCTGCTGCTTGCCACGGCCGAACGACTTGCTGTGCTTGTCCGTCACCTTCATGTACTGTTTCCTGCGCGGGTTCTGCGGGTTCTTGCGAGTCTGGAGAAATTGTTGAATACGGCATGGCACGATGATATGGCAAACGCCCGCGCATACGCGCGCCGAGTGATCCCGACACGCACGTCACTGCGCAGCACATCGAGCGCACTGACACCGACCAACACTACACCGACGCCGACGCGCACATCAGCACATCGAGCAAACTATGGAGAACAACGGTCGTGACATGGCGCGTGATCCTACCTCATCCGAACCTCATCATCTCGCCTCATCGCCATCCTACATAAACTGACCTCCTCATCGCACCTAATCCGGCCTCGTCCAACATCTGTCTAGCACGCCCTACTCCTCCCACCCGCAAAAAAAACCACGATCCGTCACCAAGTTCTCCGCGATCATCTCCTCAGCCTCGGACTCCCCGTACGCGTCGTAGAGCTGCTTCTTGCTCATCCACTCCGACTCGCGAGTCATGGTCTCGCTCCACTGGATGCTGGTCGTCACCTGCTGGTACAAGTCGTTCAGCGTCGGGTCCACGATGTAGGCGGCCAGCATCTTCGCCTTCGTGTTGTACTTCGTGTCCTTGGCGCCGCCCGACTCTACCTGGCGGCGTCGCCCCAAGAAGGGATGGGGCGATGGGGGCTGCTCCGCTTCCCCATGTCACGAGCGAACACCCAGCGATGCGTCAGCTGCGCCCAACGAAAAAGCTCGATCACATGCGACTCACAGAACCCAACAGTCAATGCAAACATCGCCCAAAGCCACATGCACACACGCGCGCGCCCGCACGCGCATGACACATCCGATCACAAATGCACACGCGCACGCACACGTACACGCATGCACATGCACCCACAATCCATACCAACCGCAAACATCAAATGTGCGACCTGCTCCCACTGCTTGGTGGCCTCCTCGCTGTGGGTGCGCGCGGTGGCGAACCTGCCGTAGAGCGCCTTGGATGATGGTTTTGCGCGTGCACAGCAGAGGGGAAGGGGACGCGCGGCAATGATGCACACAGCCAGGTCTGCCCGACAACGGATGGGGATGAACGATGGAGGTGGGAGGAGGTGGAAGGGAAAGAATGGAGGATGGAGGGCGGAGGTGGGAGGAAGGAAAAGAATTGAGGTGGGAGGAGGTGGAAGGATCCCCCAATCTGCTCTGCTCTGCCCTCCCTCCCTCCCCCAATCTTCCCCATCATCGCTCTCTCACAACCGCCCGCCACCCTCCACCATGCCCTCGTGATTCATGCATCTCCTGAGCCAACGCGTGCTCTGATCAACGCATGAAATAAAACTCGTCCTCACTTCTGCGGGACTGAACAACTGCTTCAACAAGCCGACGTTGTCCGCCTTGGAGTGCAAGCTAGTGGCGGCAATCATTTGCAGCGCGCGATGCATACCTGCAGACACCTGCAAACACCAGCCCCGCCCGTCCACGCCTGACAACACCACCGAAGGTTCACGCATGCAACTAGACGCAAAGAGGGCGCTGCCAATACACAAAACAGCGCGAACCCAACAGCGCGAACGCAACACGCGATCAATCGCACCCGTGCCAACCTAACACCGTGCCGTGCCGCTCCGTGCCACCGCGCCCACCCCAATATCCGCCCCGCGCCGTTGCCCCCTTCTGAGCGCCCACGTACGCACGTACACGCGCGCGCGCGAGCTACCTGCAAGCAAAGAAAATCGCGTCCGAAAGAGCGTCTTCTTCTCTTCGGTGGTCTTGCCCTTCGCCTCGTGCAGTATCTTCTCGTCGGACCACCTCGGGGGCAAGCGGGACACGGGGGGTCAGTGACCACGTTTGACGCCACTGCGCCTGTGGCAAAACCAACTACGACGACTAACTCCGAATGTACACTCTGGTCGGACCTGGGGACATGAATCGGGCATCTCGATTGCCCCAGCCACGCTGGATAGCCAAGAGCTGTCTTGGCAGAGGTGTCCGCCTTCAGCTTGTCCTCAGAACTCGATCGATCCAACTCGATCGGACATCGCCCCCCATTGTGCATTGTCCACATCGTATTTAGAGGGGGGGGGGGGGCGACAGTACCACATGCCTGGTAATGGGGGGGAGGGGGTACCAACACAATCACGTTGAATATATCGGGGTCCTTCTTGATCACTTGCATTGCAGGCTTGCCGCGCGATGGAGCCTTCCCCTTCGGCGCCATTGCACCCCTCGGCCCCTGGGTCCTGGTGCGACCGCAGCCCAGGCTCGTTGCGCTTCGCGCGCACCCCCAACTAAACAGAGCCGAGATCGCAATCGGGATGTAACGATCACATCAGTCACGTGAACATAACTGGACACCGTGTGGTCAGACGAATGCACGTGCGTGCGCGCATGAGCCATACAGGTCATTGAATGGTGTTCGTGCCAGATTTTATCGTATCCAGTTTAGTGACATAGTGTAAGTCGTAATGCATGGATGTGCCAGAGTGTATACACCAGTTTGCGATTCTAGTAATAACAGGTGAGTAGATGCTCTTGCTCTGGTCAATAATTATATAAACATATGCGCATGTACATACAATATGTCACATATGTGTGTGCGAATTCATATGAACAGTTGCACAATACTACGCTATCGACACTACGTGTACATATGTGTAATAATACTGCAATCTGACAACAGTCTGACGGCAGATCAGTGTCAGATCTACTGGTCTGACAATGCTCTGACGTCAGATCATTGTCAGATCGAGCGATCTGACGTCAGAATTGTCAGATCTGACAAGTCTGACGTCAGACACGTTGATCTGACAACAGTCTGACGTCAGATCATTGTCAGATCAATGGACATGATATCATGTGATGTCAAATCGAAATCCACAACTTCATACATACATTTGATAAGTAATAATTGAAATGTGTGTGCGCATTCAAACAACAATTGTATATTTGTTATGTACGAACGACACTATATGTGTGTGCTTACACTGTATTTATTCGTGGATGTTGAACTATATCATCACGTGTTTCAAATTGACCATGACATCGAACGATGCGACTATACCATATCGACATAACGTTACAATTTACCATCATGTGGTGCACTACAACACTGAACTGATGTGATCATCACTGGCCACGTGTCACGACGACGGTGACGCCGATCGTCGCATGAGACGATGCTTACGACATTGACCTATGAACAGTGAAATGGATGATACCTGTGACACGGATGCTGATTGAGGGAGATACGGAGGGAGATACGGATGATGCGGACTATGAGGATGAGGAGGAACACGAGGAGCAGTGTGCTCCTGGTGTTGGGAAGTCGGTTGGCAGATGTGCTCAGCACAGGTCGACAGGTCGATATCGCACTTCGGAGGGCAGGACAACGGGGACAATCCATCATCAATGGTGGGAATACAACGCACTGCGCCACCAACCTGAGCGCCAGCAACCTGAATGACCGACCTACGAGCCCTGAAATTCGACCTCCATGATGGCACGATCTTGGAGTACTTAGACACCATGCGCGTTCGTCATGCACCACATCGGATGGGGGATGGCGGGCAGGGTGGGTTGGGATGGGATGACTGGGTGGACGGCGGCTCGATTCGAGGGATCCGACGCGCCACCGCTGCGAGACGTCGACTCTTTCACCTGCGGCCCGTGCGAATGACGCTCAACACCCCATGAGCGGCACGGTGCGTGCATTGCTGGCGGCGCTGGCAGAGGCGCGGCAACGACGTGCCCCTGCAGCGCGTCTCTAAGCTCTGAGCAAACGCGACCCCGTCCCTCCTCCTCTGCTCTTCCTCCTCTGCTCCCCCCTCCTCCTCTGCTCATCCCTGGTCCGTCCTCCTCTTCCCATATCGTCTCTTCATCATCACTATCCTAATCATCCCTGGCTCCAGATCCTCCCAGGTCGCTGGTCGCACGGAAAACCGTGCTCAACTCTGGCAGAGCTTCGTGCGAAGACCCACTGCATCAGCTTTACTGAGTCCCTTCCTGCAGCTCGCCACTAAAATCTCCTCGCAAATCGAAGCATGGCGGTCACCGAACTTACTCTCGGTGACCTCCACGAACAGACGGGGTCTCCCCTCGGAGTCGCGAGAGCATATGTAGCTCTTCTTCGAGGCGTAGGTCACCTTGAGCTCCCCGAGGGTGGGGTGGCCGAGCGAGCGGACGAGCCCGTCGCACAGCGACGGCCTCTTGCCCTTCTCGCCCGACGCGGCCATCGTGTCCTTGGGCTTGGCCTTCGGGGTCGCGACGGCCTTGCCCTTCTTCCGCTCCTTGACCTCCGCCTGCGGAGAGAAATTCGTTTGCGCCGTTGTAGTCCTCATCCTTCTCCTCACCATCGGCGCCACACTCATCATCTTCAACCTCATCACCATCGTCACCCTCATCATCATCATCACCCTCACCCTCATAATCCTCATCATCGTCATCATCATCATCATCAGCATCATCATCATCATCGTCATCATCATCATCATCCACTTCCACCTATGCCACTCCAACCTTGTCCTCCACGTGAATCGACGCTGTCAGACTCCCTCCATGTCCTCCCAGAAAACCAACCCCCTCTGGCAACGATCGCGACCCCCCCGCGCCGCCTTCAGCTCCCGCTTCTTGGGATTGACGGGCACCGAGTTGATGGCCTTCGTCAGCAGGTCGGCTTCGTCCTCCGACACGTCGTGTACGTCGTCGCCCTTCATCCACTTCGCCAGCTCCTGGGCGGCGCGGGGACAGCGGGGCCAGGCGTGAGGGGGGGGGGGTGACGGGCTGAACTTTGGGTGACGGAGAAGGGCACGTCTCTCCTTGACACCAATCATCATCATACTACTCGGCCGCCACACCCTCCTACTCATCCTCATCACCATCCTACTCATCCTCCTCCTCCTCACCTCGCTCCCCTTGCCCCCTCGCCGCGTCGTCCGCCTCCCAGCCTCTAGGACGAGAAGGATGAGGTTGAGGTTGTCACTCCTCCTGCCCTCCCCTCCTCATCCATATCGCATCGCTCCCCCTCCTCATCGGCCTCCTCCTCCTCGTCATCATCCTCCCCATCAGCATTACAATATTCCATATCATCTCCCTGTTCCGCCTCTGCCGCTAAAAAAGACGAGGTGGGTGGGGGGGTGCTGAGAAGAGGTGCACGATTGGAGGTGACGAGGATGCAATGATGAGATGTTGATGTTAGATTTCGGGGCGCGTGGTACCTGCATAGCTGACCCCTCGTGGCCACGACTGGATCCACCTTGCTCTAGTGGACATAACGCGCCTGTGCATTTGTAAGCCTGAGACCACACGTTTCGGGCAGTGACCGCATTTTTCAGAGCTAGCCCGAAGCTGCTGGCTGCAAATGGGGGAGCATGGGCAAACGCAAGCGCCGACCACACTAGAAATCACATGGGTGCTGTCGACGCTGGCCCCGTCGCGTACGCGTAGCACCTCGAACTACCAGGTGCGCTGGAAACTAGATGACGACGCGCATGCTAATGACAGCACGCACCAAAATGATAGACACGTATCTTACCAACCCGTCATTGAACTCCAATGTATGGCAATGCTACTAACTGGCTACTGCGTACCGCTGCGATAGCCACCCCATCCTAATTCGCGCGATTGAAAATCTCGCTGGCAACCACAGTTGCCATCATGTCGGTCGCAGCGTCGCCATGCTTGATCCATTGCGCGAGCATCATGTACTCGACGTCGCCGAGGTCCACGCCCGCACTGTCGTCCGACGGCGAGCTCGGCTGCACGTCCGCCTTTGGGCTCCTCATCCGAGGGGTCGTAGCATCAGTGCGCCCAGAGTCGATCGAACCGCTCGAACCTGAACTGCGCATGGCGACGTTGACCACGCGCGGGGGCGAACTGATCACCACGTCGGGGAACGGCACGGGCGGGTACGTCACAACCTCGACGTCATCTTCGTCAGCAGGGGCCGAGACCACAGTGGCGGGTTGCACGGGCGCAATCAGGACGTC